CTGTAAGAAAGTGCAAAAAAAATTTGAAAAATGGGGAAAAGATACAAACATTTCATAGATGAAGAAGTCTGAATGGCCAGTGATCACACGTAAAAATGCTCAACCTCATCAGTAGGAAAAAATAAAAGAAATGCAAGGCAAAGTCACAAGTGGGATATTATTTTCTATCCAGTCCACTGGCAAAACTTATACCAAGTATTGGTGAAGATACGGAGAAATTGATAGTGATGACATTGATTAGCAATACCACAATTTGGCATTACCTAGACTTTACTAACATATCCATGACACATTAATCCCCCTTTAAGTATATTCCAGAGAAACATGCACAGGTACAACAGGAGACATGCTCAAGACAAGCAAAGGACAGGAAAAAACTCAAAATGCATCAACCGTAGAATGCAGAATTTTTATGTTCATTTGGTGGAATGCTATGTAGTAGTAAAAAATGTCTGGGTACCTCAAGTTGGATTAATTTCAAAAATATAACTTTAAAGGAAAATCTTTTTCAAGAATTCAGAGTATGCTTCTATTTTTACCAAATGCAAAAACAGGCAAAACAAAACAATATATAATGGATATATGCAGATAGAGTAAATTTATAAAGAAAAGCAAGGTGATAGTAAACACAAAATTTCTTATATGTCTCACAATATTACATTTAGTCTTATATTTAAAATTACTCTTTTAACATTTAAGTTGTATCCTACTTTTTTAAAAAATATTTTATTTATTTATTTGAAAGAGACAGCAAGAGCGAGAGAGGGAACACAAGCAGGGGGAGTGGGAGAGGGAGAAGCAGGCTTCCCGCCAAACAGGGAGCCCGATGCGGGGCTCGATCCCAGGACCCCGGGATCACGACGTGAGCCGAAGGCAGATGCTCAACAACCGAGCCACCCAGGCGCCCCAAGTTGTATCTTACTTTATATTTATATAGCAAATGATCCAAAAACCAAGAAAGAGGGGATATAAATGGCACTTTCTATCCTCAGAAAATGTGCCTGTGCACTTAGGTCATGAATGGACTATTTGAGGAATTTTGTTCAGCTTATTTAAAACTTGGCACTAGAAAAGGAAATAAATGAATATTTACTTTTCTTTTTCCAGGCAAAAAGTTAGAAAAGAAATACTAGTATCAAGCAAGCAACAAAATACATGAGATGTGGAATAGCATCAAAAGTTAATTTAGTTCTCCCCCATTTCCAAATAAATGAGAACGAAATACAATCCTTCAAGTTTCAGTCTCTTCGAACACAGAGTTTTAGCAGGGTTTGCACCCCAACCAAGGAAAACTGCAGTGAACTTTGCAGGAGCTGATAAGAAATGAGCAGAGAACGCTGGGCTCAATGATAAAGGTTTCAGAGAACTATGATTACAGTCTTGCATTTTGCTTAGGAAAGTATTATCATCTCTCTCAAATAATGGTCATATTTACTTATGGTATCTGGTAATATTTATAATTAACACCAACATTATTCTTATTTAAGTATTGTGAATATCACAGTCCATTCAGACAAGAGTCAATGTGTTCACCTTAATTACTATTACTTTGATGCACTATTCCATATGCTCCCACACATTTCCTCTATTTTGAATCAACTTTAAGATAGCAGAATCTTAATTAAATAAAAAGAAAGTGAAAAATTAACTGGTCTATACATTTTGGGGGCTAAATGAAGAAAAGTTACTTCTGAAAAATTTAGGCATTTTGCTCCATTTTCCTCTTAAATGTTTTTTGGCCTGTGCCTCAAATAAGTTTCTAAAGGTGCTAGCACCATATAAAATTACAGATTAGCTAAATGGATCATCAGTCTCTATCAAATACCTTTCCAGCATAGGTTGAATTAAAAAAAATTATGTTTCCATAAGACATTGGAGACAAGAGACATGAAATTAAAGGAACTTGTTACTCTTGAGCTCTGACAAAGGTGCTTTTACTAAGCCTGCAGCCTCGGCCTAGACATTATCAGAATGCATAACTCTGGGGTGACACCCTTGCCTTCAGTTCAAAGAAGAGAAATGCCTTAGATAGTAGTTTTATATTTCTTTGGATGGCAGAACAATAGTAGGTAAAACTAGTTATCCTTCAGTGAGTGCCAACCTCTTGGACTGTTTGCATACCTGAGTTCATTAATCCTCGCAAAACCTCCAAGGGGCAAATAGTTTATTTATTTTCCAGATGAGGAAACTAAGGGTAAAGAACCCTCTTTAACAAAAGGTTTCCTAAAACCATAAAGTAGCAGTCAAGATTCAAACCTGTATCTTCTGAGTCTAAATTCGGTGAACACTGGTATACAAATCTTAACATTTCATCTAAGTAGCAACCCACAGGTTTATAAAAACATGTGGCCTGCAAGTAAACTGTCTTAAAGATACAAAACCTTTTAGCAAAATAAAGGTATCTGTGAACGTATATATGTGTATCTCCAAACATGGTAATTTTTTTTTTTAATTTAGAAATGCTAATGTGCAAGAGTTGTGTCAACAGATGTTTAAAACGGAATAGTTCCCTAATCATATAAAGTCACGTAGCTGCTCTGGAATCCGCTACCATCGTCCCTATTAGAGATCTGTGATCACCAGGTGAGTTCATCTGGGTTTGTATCCCTGCTCTGTGTGAACTGGGGCAAGTTGCTTAATTTCGCTGTGCTGCAGTCTGCACGTAAAAAAGGTCGGCCATAGCGGCTGTGGTGAGGAATAAATGCTTCACCATAAATCAAGTGTTTTAGAGCAGGACCCGCCCGCGAGAAACGCTCCAATCATGTTAGCTGTCATCTCTGAGGTCCTTCCAGCTCTGACAATTTATTAACGCATGACTTCAAGCTGTATTTAACATTTTAGTAAAGACGGTCTACAGTAGTTACACGGAGAGGCGCTCAGGAACCACAGGCACAGTCTCACAGTCTACGCGTGGCTGTCCTGATGAGGTGGACTGCTCCACCTGCAGACCTCGGGAGACGCATATCTACGACGGCCGGGGCTGCAGAAACCCCGGGGCCGGTTTAGCGCGCACAAATGCCAGGAAAGCTAGTTTTTTTAAAAACGCCCCTCCTGCCCCACCCAGGAGGCGGGTCCCGCGTGGGCCCAGACTCCAAGGTGAACAAGCTCGGCGGGCCTTGCTGTGACTGGGCGGAAGCCTGTCCGGAGGTTAACGGTTAACGAACGCGTGCCCTCCCTGAGAAGGACCAGGAGCAAAGGCCGACACGAGCCCCTCGACCGCTCCAGGCCGCCACCGCCGCCGCAGCTGCCGCCACCGGAAACCAGAGATCAGGCCGGCCGCCCAGCCGGAAGCAGCGGCGCTCGCGAGCCCCGCCCAACCCCGCGCGAGAACAGGACTTACCTTCCTCGAGTTCCTCGCTCCGCCTCCGCAAGACCAGCCAGCCGCGGAATCCGCGTGACGCTACTGCGCCAGCCAAGGTTCTGACCGCCGCGCGGAGCGTCTTCGCGGGGCGGGGCGAAGTCGCCCACGTGACCCGAGAGCGCCTGGCCTCGGAGACTGCTTCTGTGGCACTGCCGGCTGATGACCGCCCCCTCCGAACCGTGCTCTGCTGGGACCGCCGAACTGATAGTCGTAAAAGTGTGCTTGACAAACGTAGGTGGCATTTATTTATTTATTTTTAAATGTTCGTTAATCTCACTACATTTATCCACATTTTAAGTTTATTTGCTTATTTAAGCAATCTCTACACTCAATGCGGGGTTGGAGATCCAGTCTCAGGCTCTTCCAATGGAGCTAGCCAGGCGCCCCTTGTACACTTTTTAAATGCACCCACCAATCTCACTCTCAGGAATTTACCTTATAAAAAAATTCCCAAAAGTTCGTCACGATGCATATAATCCATGTATGAGGCTGCTTATTGCAAGGAAAGAGTAAGAATAGCTGAAGTGATCAGTAAGAGGGAAGGATGGTTAAATAAAATACAGTGTGGACGTGGGAATTACTTTGGGGCCATATACTCACAGACCAGATTTCATGAATGTATTGAATGTTAAAAAGGAAAGTACAGAATACACAATTCTTTAGTGTAAATAAAAATTATTTCTCAAGATAAAAATAGGTATGTTTGTACATAAGCTTTTTATAAAAAATCTTTTTAAAAACTTAACAGTGGTTGCATTGGAGGTGGTGGTTTTTTCACTTTAATTTTTTGAACATTGCAACTTTTTTTCTGTACTTTCCGAGTTAAAAAGAAACAAACAAAAACCCACTTCCTACTTGTGTTCAAAGCTGGAAGCAAGTTGAATCTGGCATGTTTTTAAGAAGTGTCCTTGACTGTCTTCTAATGCTGTATTTTTTTTTTAAGATTTTATTTATTTATTTGACAGAGACACAGTGAGAGAGGGAACACAAGTAGGGAGAGTGGGAGAGGGAGAAGCAGGCCTCCCGCTGATATTTTTTCTAACTTCCCAGGTGACTGCAGTGTGAACTCGAGGTTGAAAACCACGATCTATATTTAATAACCCGAATACTGATCTCAGATCCTAGAGTGGCCCAATGGGTCTCAGGCACCTGAAACCTAGGGGCCTTGTCCATTTACTCAGTGTGCCGTGCAAATACCATTTTTTCTATAAGCCTCAACATATAAGAATTTGAGAAACCCCAAATAATGGATTTGCCTCCAATGCTAGTTTCTTTTGATTTCTATTCTGTTTAGTAGTTTTAGGGTGATAGTAATATTTTATGGGATAATTTCCCTTTTGGCCATTTATTTCATTGATCCAAGCAAAAACTAACCATCAAGTTTTGATGAACTGCTTTACCAAAGTGATAATAAAATATATTTGGACTTATTATAATTTACATTGTCTATTAACCATGCAAATTATTTTATGGCACATGTAGGGTACTAGCAGTCTTTAGCTTGTGTCATGGACTAAATAAGTTTTGCTGTTTCTAATGAAAAGTCCTTCTTTCTTGCCTTGGCATAATTTGGGCATTAAAATGAGACATATCTTAGATTCATTGACCTTAAATCTGATTTTTTTTTTTGTCAAACATCTTACATTCAGAACAGTACAACATAGCAAAACCCCATTTATTACATTTTTATTTCCTGCAAACTTAAAATTTTTGAGGCCCCAATGAAGACCACGAACCTATTATCAATTTTTAAAATTTTCCAGCTTCCTGAAAAAAGTGTGGTGTTTTGGGCTGATAAATGTAACCTGTTGCCACAGAACACAAATTCTGACCTGGTGACATAAAATCATTCTGGCAACCTGACGTATGGCCAAGATTCTAAGACTACAGAATAAAGGCATTCCTTTGGATTCTGTCCTTTAATAGTTTTCAAAGGACAACCATAAAATGGCTTCGAACTCAGTAGAGACCTTGATCAAAGCATGTTAAAAGTGGGCAGGTTTGCAGACCTTGGGTAATGCATGGCAAATTCAACAGGCCAAAGGAGTGAGTTTTCATGATGGGGCTCTCACCACTCACTGGTTTTGGGCCAGTTTTCCATAGCCTCCTCTCCCAGCATCATAGTCCTGCCGATACTCATCTCATACCTGGCCCCCAGATCGCCCACGGCCATACTGCCATCCCTCCTTAAAGCCTGCGTCCCAGTCTGTGCGAATGATCCAGTCATCCAGACGAGTTCTGTTTATGTACCTCATGGCATTTTCTGCATCTGCTCTTGAATAGTATTCCACAAAGCAGAACCCACATGCTGTTTTCTTCATCTTATCCAGGCCCATAATGATCTTCTTTATGTCACCACTCTTGCTGAAGAGTTCATAGATTTGTTCTTCAGTTGTGTAAAAGGAAAGATTTCCAACATACAATGTACAGCTCTTCTTCAGTAATTTTTCCTGTTCTTCATTGTCACCCCAGAAGTGCTGGTCCCGGTACTGGCTCAGCTCCACGTAGGAGTCGCTGCGCAGCGCCTTCAGAAGGCCACTGGACATAGTGCAGAGAGGTGGACGAAGACCTTAAATCTGATTTCTAATAAACTGAAGACTTCAGTTGTTATGCATCCATAAATACACAAGAGGGAGAGAGAGAAATGCAAAGTGTCTTTTATTTCCACCTAAGGTATTAATGGGGTTAATCATGTAATAATATGAAATGCCTGGAGAACTTTAGAGGGAGTGTGGGGACACCTTCTACCTTTTCTCTCCTTGGAACCAATCTGCATCTTCCTCTAGAACCTTTCTCCATTTTTTCTTTCATCTTTTCCTTTCCTACTATTGACACCTAGTGGTAGCCCTAGCGTGAGTTTTATTACCTACCACGGAAAACAACTTTTTCTCTCTGAACTTACTCATCAGTGTCTTTGTCTAAAAATAGTTTTAAATGTCCCTTCTCACCTGTGTGAGCCCCTCTCCTGTTCTCTGAGCATCAGGCTGTGTCTAGCAGGCTTTTGGGGGACCAAACCCTTCCTCTTAGAGAAATTCAAAACCTACCTTCAATCCTAAACTATAATCTCTTTGTGAGCTAATGAAGACATCAGTGTGCTGATAGTTTCACTACAGGTAGGTTTGAAGAGTATCAACCACTCTGGATTTCCTGTTCTTTCAAACCAGCAAAGGGTGACAACACTGCTCTTAATAGGCTAGTGGGATTCAGATGAGAAAGTGAAGGTGGCTTTAAATACAGCCTATCTGTTTATGACTTCTAACTGGAAGTCTCCATGATATTCATTTGTTGTGGATACCTATGTGACATTCCTACCTGGATATTGTGGCAGAAACAGTGGTGTTCACCAAATATCCCATCTACTACCCCACATTTCCCATAGTGAGTGTGACTGCTTTTGGCCAGTGGGCGAATATGCCATGTGTCACTCCTAGATTGAAGCGTCGAAGAGCTCCTATTCCACCTCTCCAGTGTCTCCCTCTCTCTCTCTTTTTTTTTTTTCAACAACCACAGACATTCTAGATGGTGGACCTCCACTAGTCTGGGTCCCTGAGTGACCATGTGGAACAGAGACCACCCACCAGTCACTACCTTCCACCAAGCCATGAAAGATATGTAACAAGTGAGAAATAAACAGTTGTGTTAAGCCACTGAAATTCTGAGGTTGTTTATGATTGCACCAAAGCATAATTTAACCTGATATCTCATTGCTTTTCAGTTTTATGTGTTCAAGATTGAAATATTAATGTTCTCCTGTAAACCTATACTTCCTTTGTTCCCTCCATCTCCCTAAGTGACAGCTCTGCTCATCTACATGCTTAAGGGAGAAACCTGGATGCCATACTCACATCTGCCCTTTCCTCACTTCTCCTGTGCAGAAAAGAGTTGACATAGTTGACCTAAGACTGCTGTCTTTATAAAGCTCTGCTTGTAAGGTTGGCCCCTGGCTGACATCTGGGAATTTGGCTGGCACATAGTTCCCTACACTGATACAAGATTTTCCCTAAATAAAAAGGACGCCTCACTGTGACTAAACTGTTTGTACAAACAATATGGTTTATGTTGACCATGACCTGCTTTCCTTCTGGGATTCTAGAACTTTGGTACATGCTAGGCAGGGGTGCCTATATGATCACCTCCCAATAAAAACCTTTGGGTGTTGAGTCTTTAACGAGCTTCCCTGGGCAAAAACATTGCACACCTTTTTGTGCATTTTCATTGCTGGCAAAAGAGTGAGCTCTGTGTTACTCCTCCAGAGAGGGAGAGAACATAAGAAAGCCTGCACCTGGATTCTTCCATTTTCTACCTGTGTCTTTTTTCCTTATTTTCCAGCTGTGTATCTTTATAATATCATATAATAATCTTAGCATGAGAAGAACTATATAATGAATTCCATGAGTCATTCTAGTGAATCCCCAAACATGATGTGGTATAAGAGACCCCTGTAGGTATCCCCCCATATCTAATCCAGCACTGAATCCTGTCAATTCTACTTCCTAAAATATACTTCAAATTATTGTGCTGCTTTTTTTTATTTGTTGTCACCACTCTGGAAGGTGCTATCATCTTTTATTTGTATTGACCTTTAACAGGACCCCATAAAAAACACCCTCCCTTTTTTTTTTTTCCCCTGCCTGAGTTTGGAACCAACTGAGAGATACAGTAAGAGATCAAAGTGTAAACTTCATTTAACAATAAAAATCTAGATTGGGATAGCTTAAATGTGCAGCCAGATGGATTTGCTAACATCTCCAGAATTAAATTTATATGCCCAAATTGCTGCCCTCTGCCTTAGAGCTGTCCATCTTGAGAGGATGGACCAGATTGTACTCTCGTTAGGCACACAGTTTTGCAGAAAGGAGAAAGAAGAGGCTGAACTGAGCATACAAAAAAAAAAAAGAGTGAAGGTTGCAGGTTTTAAGATCTCTTGCTCACTGTGAATTTTATCTTCCAAGTGGAACTCCAAGTCCTTGGCATCAAGCAAATGATATACATGCTGACCATGAGTAGGCAGTGGAGAAGGGAGCGTGGTCAGTGAACACCAGGTTGTCCGGAGTGAGCCTCAAGCAAAACGCTGGCCATTTGTACCTAGCCAGGCTAAACAAAGTAGGCACAGAGCTCCGTGGGCCCAGCGAAGGGCCTTCGGTAATATGGGTCTCAGGGTGCAGGCTGCTGCTCCTTGACCTTGAAGCGTGTTGGGAACATCCTCATTCTACCACGTTCATTCTCAGCAAAGGTAAGAAGGCCAGAAAGACCTCAGAAAGCAGGCATAGCTAAGGCAAGGATTAAATTACAGGAAAAATGTCTTTTCGTATTTACATGGAATATTTCCTGCAATTAGAGATAGTGAAGTTAATGAAACATAAGCTTCAGGTCCCTTCACATGTGTGGGCCCTTTCCAAGGTCCTGAGCAGCTCTAGTAATGTGTTCCCATGGTCATCCTTTATATCCTTTTACTATAATTTGGAAGCACACAAAATTACACAAAAGTAGTACAGGGAACTCTATCGAAACAGCCATTTTAGAAGTACGCTGCTAATCAGATGCCACATCAGCCCCTAATGCTTTAGTATGTATTTCCTGCAAACAGGGACGTTCTTCTGCATAACGACAATTTCCTTCAGCCCTCAGAATCGGGAAGTTACCCTGACATCTAATCCTCAAATCCAGTTCAGAATCAAGTTGATTTAGTTGTCATGTCTGTTTTGCTTCCTTGTCTGGGACAGTTTCTCAGTCTTTCACTAACATTCCTGACATTCACATTTTCCAAGATTATAGGTCCTATATTTTGCAGACTGTCCCCCAACTGCAGTTTGGCTGACCTGCCTTTATGATGAGATTCAGATTATGCGTCTTTGGCAGGAACTTCGCACAGACTGGATCTGGAGCCCCTGTAGGGCTGCACTTCTCTCCCCTTCTCACTCAGCTTGAAGGAGACTCATTATACTACCACATTGCCATCTACCCCACTTGGCCTCTGTCTGTCCTCTCTAAGCCACTCTGTGTCCCCCCAACCCCCGAGCCAGCATAGGTGTCTACCCTGCCCTGTCCTCCCTACTGGCTTTAGGACTGAATTGTTCGTGAGGGAAAGAGAAGAGGAAAAGGAAATAGTTTTCCTCTGTTTTTGTAAAAACGTGCAAAAGTAAGATGACTTAACTTCAGTGGATGAAGGCCATTGTCTCTTTTCCTTCTGTCACGCGGGCATTTTTGGGATTTGGTTAAGAGGCATTTGAGTTGGAAATGTATTTATTTTGTGTTTGGTGGGGTATATTTATATGGTTTGCGGCCAATTGTGGTGTATGGTTAAGTTTTTGCTGGCCATCCCAGTGTAAAAACAGCCTCCAAAAATCCTCCCCATGCCCACTGTGATGACTCTCCTTATATGCTAGCATGCAGGCCAGGGTTCTATCAAAGTGTGAGTATGGGCTGTGGTGTCTGCCCCAGGGAATATGGAAGTCTTGGAGGAGAAATAAGATTTAAACAGGTAGAGCCAGAAACTATGCTATGGAAAGTTTTGTCTTACATCGTTAGACTTTTTGGTAAAATTGCAAACATAGGATTCTGTTTCCATAGTACACATGGGATGCACTCAGTAATACAGCCTAAAACTATAAATTCATATATCTTTCTTGATGGGAATCACGTGAAATGGAATATATCATAATTCCTATGTCTATAAGTACACAAACCTATCCTAAGACTACCATTTGTTTTATGCTCTCTGCCAACTAAAAAAAAAGATTAACTGTGCTATAGGAAAGATCCACTTGTCTTTCTATTCTCTTTATGTAAAATATTTTAAAACTGTTATTATATGAAGGGACGAGTAAAGAATAGGGAGACAAAAATTATAGGTAAAAAGTATGATGGTGGTGTGTCTAGCAATTAATAACTATTTGTTATTATGTTTGGTTTTTAATATTTGTATTTTTTGTAATTATTTGCCCATTCTGAATATTCACTTTCATACCTAATTTTTTAAATTTATTATTTTGTATCCTTTTTCTTGAAGAGAGCCTCCCCCTCCCGCCCACTGTGACCTGGATCTACCCTGAGCTACATCTAAACTGCAGGGTGGCTGAGCTCTGTGCCCACTACAGATCGCTAATGAGTATCTAACTGGAAATTGTCCATGACAGCGTGGGTAGGCGGCACTGCCTGGGCTGCTGCAAATTCCATTTGCATTCTGGCCCAGAAAGGGAAGCATGGCAGAACTAGCCTTGGATTCGTGTAGATGTCACATGCTCAAAGTCACTCCACACCATCTCATTGAGTCCAGATGGTGCTGGAGAAAGCATACCTAGAGGCAGATTGCTTAGCCAAAGTCACTGGAGGCAGTCACTGAGGCACAGGACTGAAAATACATGCTCCATGAGAGCTCCATGGCCCGACATAGAGGCCCTGCTCAATTAAGTAGGAGGATTCAGGATGGATATGACAATGAAGAGATTTTTGATCTGTAAGAAGGAAGGACACCTGTAAGAAGAGAAAGAGACAGGGACCTCTACCTGTGAAAATTTCTAAACTTGTAAGAAGGCAAGTTCAACTGACTGTCTCAGGTAAATGCATAAATGGATCTTCTCCTCATGCCCAGAGTTGCTAAACATGATGCCAAATTAACCTTTTATGAGTGGATTTCTCCCAGTTGAGTTTACCTCACAGGTTGTAGATCTGGACCACCTGCCTCCACCAACTGGCATCCACTCTGGGGAAGCCGAGACCAAGCACATTTCTTATCTCATATCCTAAGCCTCTTCTAGAGAGTCTTTGGTGACACCAAGTACTGGGTTCTCAGAGTACAGTTTTGCTTGGCATTTGTTCTAGGAGCGGGGGGTGGTTTGGTTCCTAAGTTAAGTAGGTGGGTGAGGAACCAGTGCTGCAGTAAAGTTCTGCTTCCTGTTAACACTTTGAACTCTTAAAAAGAGTGAGGGTCATCATAAAATGGGAATTGAACAAATAGAACCTCAGAGGTCCTAAAGGAATATCTGTTCATGATGAGCAGCTACTGCTGCTGAAGGAAGGATCCACAAATCCCCCATGCTTCAGGGGGCTCTCCAGCAGAGGCTCCGTGGAATTGGCAATCAAGGAGGTCTTTGATTTTTTCATACAAGGTAGGAAATTTTGATTTTTGAACTGCAGTTCTTTGGATTTTGTTATCTTTGGGCTTTAACCTGCAAGAGGATTTAA